ATTGCTCCTGAGCTCTTCCTTTACGTGCTTTTTGCTGCATTTCATTGCCTAAATGAGTGTACAGGGTGAAGGGTAAGAGCAGATTATCCTCTCCTAGCAGATGCTCCAGACTTCCCTCAGCTGGCCTGAGACTGTATCACTCCCCAACCCTCCTCTCAAGAAACACACATCCTAAAGCTTTTAATTCACTAACCAAGCCGTGTTGTGAGTTTGGGGGGGGGTGGTGGTGGTGTAGAAACATTAAATATGAGCATAAAAATGGTTTTATGCACTGTGTACACTAATAATAAACATCCACCAGACACGAGAGATCAGCGGAAGACTGCTGCAAGTTGAATGGCTCAATTAGGGCACCCAGCACTTTTAGACTAAGTAGACTCAGTGTTCACAGAATAATTTCAGAGCTATCCTTGAAGAATTCCTCCCTCACCACCCTTAGGAAAATGGCACATCATTGTCACTAAACACAAACCTTGTCTCCTTGGTTGGTAAGAGGAAGAGAGGCATCAATGTTGCCTCACATTGTTATGAACATATTTTATCAGTTTAATCTTTCCCTTAAGCAATATGACAGGTAAAAAGACACAACGCAGACCCAGAAGACTTTTTGAAGCACTGTCAATTTAAGCTAGAGCCCAATCCCATGATGCACTTCTGAGTCTCTGCTCCCAGAGAGCTCCAGTGACACTTTGGGACACCCAGGCTGGGTCCCATGTGAGGCTGTTAGGTGCGGAAGGGGACAGAAATCTGAACAAGGGAAAACGTAACTGATCCAACTGGTCCGAGGTCAGGGAAATGCTTGAAAGTGCACAGGGACCCTATTTCACATCCCTTGTGCTTGCCTCCAACTTCAGATACGTTAGTAGAGCTACCCAGGTCTGCAAGACTGTTGTGTGCTGGTAATCTCCACGACCTCCAGCGGAAACAGTTTAGCAGAAAAGCACCAGCAGAGAACAAGTCTGCCCCAAACAGCTGTCTCTCTCTTCACTACTGTGAAGACTACAAAGTCTTCTCTAGTCTGTAAATAAGAGCTTGGTCCTTCCTTTCCCCGTTCTGCTGAATACAGGTCACCTTCCTTTTTCAAAATCTTGCAACAAGCAGATGCAACCTACTGCACTCGTTTTACTCTGGCAGCAGGACAGTGGCTCATCTCATTGCCTGAGGACTCTACCAGATGGCATCCGGCTATCATACCACTCTCCACTCAGACTCCAGTCTGTCTAGGCATGGCAGCAGAGCCAGGGAGCTGCTATGCCCACTCAGCCTCTGGCTGTTGTATTACCACATCGCAAAGGTTATTACCAGCAGACGCAACTTAAAGCGACTGTGAAGAGTTCAGCATTCAGTTTTCCATCACCAGTTCAGAAGAACAGAGGTGCTGCATTAGAGTGATTTAAACCTTTCTCTTGCCTATCCAGAACTGCACTTGGTGATGCAGGACATCTCTCACTATGTCTTTCCCATTGTCAAGGTTTTCCCAGCATTTCATCTAAAATTGCCTACAAAAGTCTTTCCAATTTCATGGTGGATTTCAATCATTTAAATAAACACGCTCCTTTTGTTCAGAAAATATACAGCTTGGCGTAAGTGCGTTCCCAACAACGGGTTAAAAAACAACCAGACCACACCATCTTTTTCATTATGCAAGTTGTTGAGAAGCATAGGAAAGTGAAATTGCCATCACTCCATTATTTCCACCGCTTAAGTGGATAGAAGACAGACAGGAAGGTTATGCCTCTCTGAGCTTTTTCATTCACCATTTTATGAAGCCCTAAGGCCTCGCTTGCTCTGTAAGAACTTACTGAAGTGATGTGCCTATTTTTGTTAAGACACATGCTTTTCAGAATAATGTGTAAACTCAAGCCTACATACAGTAATGAGCCTAGGTGGCTGGCTTGACATTCAGACTGATCACTTGTGAAAAATGACAGTCACCATTTGACAATTTTTTGGCTGGCAGAGGAAGAAAATAGTTTGAAATTCAACTTGATTGACTTAACCTGAAGACGACAAATACACAAAATAAAAGTAACACTAGTCAAATACAGTGTAGAATAGAGGGTAAGATAGGATTTTACAGCACTTTTAAGAAGGTCAGAGTTCGTAAATTCTAAAAACATGTTAAAAAGAGAAAAAAAAAAAAAAGAGAGACCAAAGTTTCCAGCATTCACAAGTTGATAAAACTGTTCCTGTCATACCCAGGATTTATGAACATGATTTGCTGTACTGCAGAACTAGTAACACTGCAGGATGTGAGACTTCATTACCTAGAAATGAGATCAGGAATTGGCTGTGACTGAGACAGGTGAAAACAGATCTTTTACCTACAAAATCTCAAGTGTACTCTGCATTCTGCAGTCTAGACAGACCACACTGTATTCTCATCAGTTCTTTCTGCTACACTGGAGCATTCACTTTTAAATGAACTCTGTCCTGCTATCAAGCTGTGAAGCAATATAAAAATGTATGCCACATCTCCCATTAGCAAGATGACGCATTGCAGAGTACATGACAGGAATCCTCAGGGAATACTTTGGGATTAGAAGTGAAATACTGCACAGATGGGGTTGTTGGGTAAGGGAATTCCCTCTGCCCTATATAGGGCTGAGAACATTTAGAGCTTTTACATCAACAGGCAAGACCAGGCCATTTTACCTTGTAAATATTTGAAGTACAGGCAAAAAGACATGACATACTTGAAAATCTGAAAATATAGGACAGTTACAGAGATACAGATACTTGTGTTGCTCTTTTTTTCCTCTTAAGTATTAAATATCAGTGACTTCTAGGGAAGGTGAAGAGGTATGCCAATATATAATGACAAGGACAGTTCTTGTGCGAATTGTTAGAAGCTAAAATCAGGCCCCATTTCTCTCCTCCGTACTAACTTAAGATTGAACCACAATTAATCTCTGGATACACTCACTCTCTCAACTAGATTTGCTCTCCGACAGATTACTAGAGCTACAGCATTGTCTACTGTTGAGAAACAGGTTACACAACCTGCAAAGCCAATAAAGCTCCCAGAAAAGTCCTGTGTTTATGAGAAGATACTGTGCTTTTTCATCACAACCTATCTAGTCATTGTTGTCCTCAGTATCAAGAGATCAGGTATCTGGAGGATTTGCAAAGGCACAGAGGGCAGCAATGTGCTAACTACAGTTGAATGCCAAGGGGAGCTGGACCTGACTTGTAAACCCTCCACCTAACACAGGCCAGTGCATGGTATTAGCACCATGGCACCAAGCTCATTGTTTAAGTATTCCACCAGTAGCTTCGGGTTTCCCTATACATGATTGAGTGTAGTCACCACTTTCATACATGGAATTGGGTTTTGAAACACTTGTACTGAACTCCTATAGGAACCCATGAGCCTCTTTCTCACTAAACATCTCCCTTAAGCTCCCTGCTTACCTAACATGCTTTGTCAAAGTTTTGATGTCTCCTTTCAATTATAACAGATCTAGCTAAGTGATTTATGAGATAACTGTGGAGGCCCAGAACAGAGTCAGAGTTTGCAAGGTCCTACCAAGAACACCCCCAGTGCCCCACAGTGGGGTCACTACTGATATTTGCCTAGGGCATTCACAGATCCCCAGTGACGCAAGCTCCACACAACCTCCACAGGCAATCTTTTTCCAGTGTACCACCATCCTCATTTTTTTGCCTCTCAATAGGAAACATGAACTTGTGTTGCTGCAATTGGAAGCCATCACATCTTGTCCTACTCACCACAGAAAGATTAACACCTTCTAGGAGTTCTTGAAGACTTGTTTCTCTCTTGGACTTTTTTCTCCCCTTTAAGGTAAAAACATTCCATTCTTTCAAACTTTCCGCAATCCTGCTTACTATACCCTTAGCCATCCTTGATGCTCTTTATTAGGACTTTCTCCTGTTGTTCTGCCATTTGCTTGAAGTATAATGCATAATAACAGACAGTCTTCCAAGATAAGGCTTTGCCTATACTCACAGAAGTGAAGGAATCCCTTCAGACACCTTCCAAGCTTTGCTGCCACTTATACATCACAAGATGAAAACTTCTTTGCAAAAGCATGCCACTGTATGTTCATCTCCCATTTCCATGCCAGAGCCACTGTTTCCAACTCAGCTTATAGCCTGAAAAGGCCAGCACTAGTTATCATTTGGCAGAGCACTGCTAGTCAGTGGTCTCTGCCCAGTTTCACACGGATTCCTCTACACTCCATGGGCACGCAATATAGGACCACATTAAGCGGTCTGCTACTGCACAGCATTAATTTGACCACACCTCCTAGAGGTGTAGGTGGGGATCCCCAGAATGAACAGACTAAATTTAGTACGATCCACGTGTCCTGCAGGAAGACTAATTTTTAAGACTAATAAAGAAAAGCTCCTGCTGCCTCTGCTTACCTTTTGCAATCAGACTTCAGCCACCCCAGTGGTTAACTGGTAATTTTGACAAACACTACACTAATTTAAAAAGAACTTACACTAAAACACATGTCCATGCAAACATTCACACAGCATTTCTTTTTCTACAGTATCTTTTGCAACAAGCAGTTCAAAAATATTAATACTTGCAAGCTGTCTATGAAAGAGTATTAACATTTCCTTGATCAGATGGAGAAACCACAGTTTAAAGAGAGGTTAAGTCAACTGTCCAAACACACAGTGAGTTTTAGACATCAGTATCTTTCTTATACTAAGCACATTTACATTGAACCTGCAGAGAATGGACAGCTGTATAAAGCTTTTCAATCCACAGCTATGCACAAAGTCCGTTTTCTCCTTGATAATGAGAAGCAAACACTATATGGAAAGAATAGTACTCAATACCAAATGCACACACCTGATCACAAAGTGCAACCAGAGTCTCAAAGGAGAGCACTGTCCTTCCACATAGCTGTCTGATGGCATCTAACCCCCCAAAATACATGACTGTGCACATTCAAACAAGTAAGCTAGATACAGTCTGCCAGAGGAAAACGTGCCCTTTTCAAGTCCTTTGGTTTGAATCTTACCTTTCCACAAGCCACCATGGACAGGGCAAGCTGGTACCAGAGGTGAAATTCATCAAACGCAAACTTCATCGCTCTCTCCAAGCACTGAGAAATAAATGTTGGGAGAAATATCAGACTTTTTTTTTTTTTAGTATCTTTTATCAAGACTGCTGCTTGGTTCAGTAATCAAATCAGGGACACAATCTGTTGTGGTCCAGGGCCCAGGTGATTTTTTTTTTTTATTTTTTTTTAATGACATCATTCTCCTCTTCTCAGTTAATGGAGCTCACTAGCGTTCACCATCAGTTCAAATGACAGTCACTTTGTTCAAGGGCCTACACAGAAATTATTTCAATGTCTCAAAGAGTTCTGTGTACGTTTCTGGCCTGTGCTGCCATAGGTCTGTAACTGTTTCTACTAACTGCCAGCTAGTGTGCCTCATTTTCACCTTCCCAAACAAGTTAATGCAAAGAGGGGCTTTGCTCGCACGTTTCAAGGGCAGTTTCAGCAGAAGCAGGGAGGAGGTACCTCCGAAAGCATGACATACTGCCCTCTCCTGCCCAGCGTGATACTGAGGAGGTCGTAGACTGCAGAAGCATCCTGGAGGCTGACAGCTCGGTCATCCTGCTGGTCTGGTGCTCGGCTGATCACTGCGTCCCGGTTTGCCTGGGCAGAGATAAAAATGGAAGCATCAGACCCCAAAAGAGCATGAGAGAACCGACTCCTCCATAGGAAGTTCCACCCATCATCCGTAGCATTTTGTTTAAAAATCATCTTGAGATATTTTAACTCATCCCAACATAAGGAAGGTGTTTCCATAGAGTTACTTTTTATCCGCATGAAGTAAACTCAAGAAGATAGCTGTATGTACAGCAAGGACCTGCTAGGAATACCTCATCTGGATTTGTTTCACAGAATTAGAGCATTAGGAAACAGACCTACCAGATGCCGTTTCCTCAATAATTACAAATTCAAGGCCATCCTTAAACCACATTCCTTATTACTTCAATTGTCTGCAACTGCGATAACTGCCTCCATGGTTGATATTTTATCTTCTGTGTCTGCACTTGATTTCCTCCCAATAGTATGTGTTTTTGTTCTTCTTTTCTGCTACTCACCTTTTATTTTTTAATTTGAGTAGGTTGCCTTAGTAATCAGATTTGCCTATCATCAATTTAATGCAATTAGATGTCTGGGCAACACAATACCAAATAATTTATTAAAAAAAAGTATTCCAAGTGTTAATTTTGCATAATCTATCAGTGCATTGCTCAGCTTAGATCAAAAAGAAACATTACTTTTGACAGAAAATGATCAGTCTAGCAATTTGCAAGGATGTCCCAAAATACCATACGCCATAGACTCAGATTTACCTCAAGAACCCAGCCTCTCTGTTTTCTGAGCACAAAGAGGGAGATTTCAATCCCAGAGTAAACAGAAAAGTCCCTCTGATTTCTGAACACAGAGGACTTCACTCAGATTGCCTAACCTCTGAGAAAGGCAGTGGTGGATGCCATTGAGCACCAGCACTGACTGACAGCAGAGATACGCTGCCCTGGGCTCCTCAGCTGAAAGGGGTGCAACGTCAGACATTCAGGTCTAGACATCTAAAATATCAGAAAAATTAAGAGGATTGCCAGCAGTTTCACCTGTGGCAAAGACAAACAAAATGTTCCCTCCCTGAAGCAGGAAGGTTATGAGATTTATTTTATAATACTCACTACTATAATCTTACATCTATTTCTTTCTAATTGCAGGGAGGTTTTTTTTTTCCCTAAAAAGGTTAAACATGGGAATTAAGTGTAATAAAAATTTCCAGAATATGCAGCCCTTAAAGCCCACGCATATTTCATTATGATTAAGCTGCAGCTGTTTCATCATGATATTATCTGTGTAATACCCCAGTTCCAAGCACTCTTCATCACAGCCTCCAGCCGAGACAGCAAACACAATTACTGACAACTAACACAATCACAACCAAGAGCTAAATGGCGACTGCAGTTAAAGGCAAACTTGCAGGTCAGACTCAGTCTACTGTTTGCACAAATAAACTTACACCAACTCCTGTAGTCACAAAAGCATTTTTCTTTTTCATGTTACTGCAAAAGACGCAGTTTGTGATTTAAAAAAATAGTTCAGAACAACAGGTTGCATCAGAGAATGAAATCAACTTTAAAGAGAAAATCCTGCAACCAGAGTACAGAAGCATAGCTTGTCTACCTTTATTAGCAGAACATTAAACAAGTAAGAACACAACAACAACAAAAATATGCTTAAGCTCTGTTTGGATTTAACCCAAGACTGCTACTTTAAAAGGCAAAAAGGAGTTAAAGACATATACAGAACAATTTTGAGATTGCCACTTCAGAGAGTTAAAGACAAAGCATATACAGAGCAATCTTTATTGCTGAGTGAATCCTCCTACATATATACAATAGCATTAACAATTTTTTTTCTGCACTGGTTACATTGTTATAACAATTGTTTGTAGAAAATAGCTACTGAGATAGAACCCCCATGCTCTGTAATCTCATCATCAGCCCCCCATTACAGTCAGCTACAGCCTGATGCTTTTTTGGGTATCCATCTAGTACCAAGCCATGATTTTTAAGTTGATGCCTTAGCACAGATAGAAAATTAATCAGAACTGGTGAGTGCCCATTAACGTCTGCTAACAGATATAGGTACTAGAGGGAAGAATAGGCCCCAATACTGCAATAAGCAGGA